GGAGGTTTTTTCACCGCGGTGCGATAACCTTAAATCTTCTGGTTACATTCTATATGCTTTTCTGTCTCAGGAAAGCACAGATACAAATTCTTCGCGGATTCTACAGGTAAACGAACTTTCTACCGGCGTATCAAATACTCTTCAAGAACGGAACTAATTCATAAAACTGACATTGTACTCGCTCCACACTCAAAGCCCCCAAAAGAACATAGGCATCTGTGAGGGCCGTGTCAAATATTCATCCGATACGGACACAGCTCCCTCAAAGAGAAAAAGCGCGTCATCGCAAACGATCTCGCTTCTTCGTGATTTTTCCGATAGCACAGCAGTGATCGTGATCGGATCAGAGGGAGCCCCTCGCCCTACTCACATCGACAATAAATTCAGCGATACGATCGAACGGACGAGACTCCGCGCCCGCGTTAGCTCTTCAATGTTGGATAGGGAATTCTCACAACAGCTCACGCCATCAATTAATTCCCCAACAAAAAAAAAAAAAAAAAATCACGTACGCACACCGAAAAAAAAAAACTTTCGACAGGTAACACTAATTTCAGTAAGAACAAATATAAATTCCCATATAAAACGTGGTACTAAATTTGCCTCGACAACCATCCACCGTGTTTCAAATCAAAACAAAACATAGTTATGGACAGGAAGAACAAATCGCCGCATTTTACAGACTCAACCCCCCTTCCGCTCAACAAATCCGGACGATCCCCCACCTCGATCATCAACAATCCCCTCAAAAAAACAAAATAATAAAATAAAAAAGCAATATTTAATCAGAGCACGTACCGCTGCTCATCCGCCTGGTCCAGTTCGTATCTCGGCTTCCCCGATTCGCTCTGCGATCGAACCAAATCGTACCAAACATCAGCACACAAATCAAATCTATCACACAACAACACCAAACAGCTCAGCGCATCGGATCCGGACCCCGAGACGAGTTGGCAATGCGAGCGCCTTCCGGGGGCCGCCGCGCGCCGCCGGGACGCAGTCGGGGCGACTCGAAGAGCGACAGCGAGAACTGCTTGTAAATGACGGCCGACGTCGAAGTAGATGAGGCCGGAGCTGGGACGTCGACGCGGATCTCGTGACGGGGAACAGAGGAAGAGCCTCGGGCGGAGACGCGCGGAGGAGCGATCTGGCCGTAGCTGATGGTGCCGGAGAGGAGGAGTTGTAGTGGATCTTGGTCTCGAACGTGGCGGTGCAGGGCTCGTCGATGGCGAGGCTGAACTGCGGCAGTGTCGATGCTGAAGTCCCTGATGTTCCTCGGGAGGAGGCCGACGGGGAGGCGTGGGATCGGAGGACGTCGCACGCGGCGTTCGTGCGGTGCTCGTTGGCGAGGGCGAGAATGCGAGGAGAGCAGCGTGAGAACGGCGCAGGATGGCGGTGGACATTTTTTTTTTTTCTTTTTTTTGCTTTTCTCCCCCACCCTTTTTCGGAAGTGGAAATTTTCGAGAGATATTGTTATTATTATTATTATTATTATTATTATTTAATATGGGCGAGGGAGGGGGCCCTGGTGCCAGCGAGCGCACAGAAGCAATAATTGGAGGGTTGATGATGGGGATGAGGGCTGGTCGCGTGGGGTCCAGTCGGAGCTTCTTGATTTTGCCCAATAGTATTCGCTCTTGCCCATTTTTATTCCGTTTTAGGCTTTATTATTATTATTATTATTATTATTATTTAACCTCGGTTGTTCCCCTCGTGTTTTCTCTATTTACCCCCTTACATCTTTAGTATTTTCTCTCACGTTTGTTGAGCTCTTCTACTCACTTTACTTAATAATTTTAGTTTTCTAAATAAATTTTAAATTGTTCTGATTTCTCTCGCCTCGAGCTTCTCTACTTATTTCACTTAAAAATTTTAGTTTTAAAGTGTTACAATCTTAATGAAAATTACTGAAATCTTAATGCTTAAAACGCGACAATGTAAATATCAAAAGCTGGGGAATAAACCTGCAAATATAGAGGACTTGAGGGGAATACATGCACAAACCCCAAAAGCCGTGGTGTATATCAGTATATGGGTGATATTTTTTAGATGAGTAGGAACGGTAGAAGAATTCAATGGAGGAGTAACTTGTCAGCGACTTACACGTGGAGTACAGGGTATTTTCATGGGGAGAACACGTGGGCTGTTGGCTGAACCGAGAACGATGCTCGGAGGATGAGTTGGTTGTTTGACGAAGCGCGGCCGTACTATATACCGCTTGTTTTCTGAGGAATGCGTAGTAAGAGTGCTGAGCGCACACAGTTCAAGGCATGGATATAATACTTATTGGGTAGGGTTATAATAAATCTAGGTGTTTACACCTACTTATAAAATTACATGTTTGAGTGTAAATATTAACGATTAACATCGTTTATTGTGATTTATGTGTTAAAACTTTACAAAGACCAAAAACTATATAGATAAGATTTTTCTAGTTTGTACATCTAATGACCTAGAACTGAATGGTTTGTAACGGTCTAAAATTGCTCATTATTTTGAGTTGCTTGAATTATAGGATAAAACTTCTCAAACCACATGATTTTTTATCCATGCTCATTTGTGACATGTAGATCACAATGAATGGTATTGATCGTTAATATCGATGGTCAAACATGTATTCTTAAAGATAGGTGTAACTAACCTAGTTATACCTTAGGTGTATTATAGCCCTACCCATACTTATTATACACTAGTAGAAAAACGAGTAACCTAGACGGAACAAACTAGACGGAATTATTTTCCGTCTAGTTTGAGTCAAACTAGACGGAACTAATTCCGTCTAGTTTGTTCCGTCTAGGTTGAATCAAACTAGACGGAAATTTCCGTCTAGTTTGTCAATCTAGACGGAAAGGTCAACCTAGACGGAAATTCCGTCTAGGTTGCCTCAACCTAGACGGAAATTCCGTCTAGGTTGACTAATCAACCTAGACGGAAATTCCGTCTAGGTTGCCTAGGGCAATTTAATGCCCTAGTCAGCCCCCCCCCCCAAATCTCTCTCTTTCTCTTACTCTCCTCCCCCCCACTTCCCCCCTCCCGACCCCCCTCCCGACCCCCCTCCCGACCCCCCCGACGGCCCCCCGCCCCCTCGGGCACGCTCCGCACCTCTACCCTCATTCGACCACCCCTCCTTCCCCCTCCCACTCCCCCCTTCCGGACCAACCCCCTCCCCCCTCTCCTCGACAGCCATCCACGCTTCTCGCCGCCCCTCCTCCCCTCTCGCAGCCTCACTCCCCCTTCCTCCCCCCGTCGCAGACCCCCGTTCCGTCCCTCCGCTCCCAGGGCCGCCCGTCCTGAGAATGTCGCGGCGGCCCAGGCAAAAACAGTTGAACAAAAATCCTAAAGGGCCCTCCCTATAATTCAAAGATTTTTTTTTAATAAAGCTGTTGGGCACCCAAAGTAACTTTAGGGTTGCCTACATACAAGAGATGTTAATAACCTAACACTCAAGGCTCAAACACACTGTTAGTTCTCCTAAAGCTACCCACCCTGCGCCAAAGCGCCTACAAATCACACCTATACGACTCTCATTCCGCAAAAACAAGATCGCATGAACCAATAGAAGTAATCACTTTAATGAAGCCTCTTCTTGCATTTTTAGATGGCAAAATCATTATTAAAACTTGTTAATCAACGTTTCTCAGCCTATATTTTCTCAATTGAACAATAAAAGCTAAAGCCATTCAATCTTTCTTGTGACATAGTTTGATCGAAGATAAAGATTGCCTCAATTTTAAACTTTGAAAGCTTCTTTCTGCAGAGGCAACAAGTAAACAGGTATGGTCAACAATATTCTGTACGGCAATCCAAGCATTTGGAAAGTACGCATCCAATTTCTTCAAATAATCAGCACGTCAATTGCTTTTGTTTCTTTTGGTAAGTATTCTCTCAAAGTTTCAACTCTAAAAAATAAATCTTCGCCATCAATATCCAAAATAACTGTCATGCTTTAAAGATTCTTCAAGTTTCACACAATAAAGCTTTCAAACTAGCATCATCAACAATGCTGAAGTTTCGTTCAAATCAAATAAAACCAAAGACTTCTTCATAATGCCGAAAATTGTTCAAAACCTAACTCTTAGAGAAGAAATAGGCTTGATCCACTATATATAGAAAGTATTTAACTCTAAATGATTCTTAGGAGATAATATTGTACTCTTCGGTAGCACTTTTCCAAAAGTTGTCTCTATCTGCGAAATGTACGCCTTTCACGAAACATATAAGTCTTCAATTTCCATTGCAGATGCATACCATTTTTAGGCTTCAGTAATGGCCTCCTTAATCCATGTTTCTGTACTTTTCAAAAATAATATAAGTCCCATTCAATGATCTATAGGCAATATCAATTGCCATGTCTTCCTTTTGCAAAATTTGCCTAAACAGCAATTAACCAGCAAATAATTAAATTGGGCCAAACAATCATTAACCCAATAAGAACGTCAAATTCTCCATTTCATTGTTGCAAGGACTCAGCTTACCTTTATTTTTGGACTCTCAATCGATACTTGCCAAATGAATATAAGCATCTTCTTATTTCTGTAGCTTGAAAATCTTACTGCTCTTAACTTTACTGTACTTTCCCACGTTGTTTGTGCACAATGGCTTAAGTGCTGAGACCAGAAACATGTTCTTTGAATACCCCACCGCTTTAGTAGAATGATGAAAACAAAGTATATTAGAACGTTGTATCAAGCTCCAAAACAAAGCAGTATAGCTTTCGGACAAGAGCTTTGCCCCTATATCGCCAAAGTGCGATGTTTAAGACTAGTGCCAACGCACATGGAGTATAGAATGCCTCTAAGCGATTTACTTCGCGAGAGTCTTTTCTCGCACACCTTTATGATTTTTCCTTCTATATTAGATCCCATTGTCATTCACCCTTGTCCTCTTACATTAGAAAATGTCAAGTTTCCAGAATCTTAATACATCTTCAAGTTGCTAAAAGTCCTAGTCCTGAACGTAATCATACGACCTAAGAAATTCTAGAAGAAGCTCTTCTACCTTTACGACAATTCTGAAACATGCCACACACTACTATATATAAGAGTCATTTGTTCTTCATGGCTTATATCTGGAGTACAATCTAGTATAACAGCAAAATATTTTGCTTCTTTAATTATTTTGATCATTGTATGTTTAATCTCTCCCGCTAACATTCCTATCAGTTCATTTTGAATTTTATGACTGAGATAATGCTTATGAGATTCACCACTTTGATAACGTCGAATATGCTCTTTCATTACCGGATCAAATTCGGCAATCATTTGAATATGCTCTTTCATTACCGAATCAAATTCGGCAATCATTTCAATTAAACTTAAAAAATTTCCATTGTTCTCTTGATAAATCTTCTCATTATCCCCGCGAAATGCTAAACCATTTTTAGCAAGTGTTTTTACAACAGCAACTATTCTTAATAATACTTGTCTCCAATGTTCTCTCTCTTTGTTTAATATTTCTTGCACACTTTTATCAATTGTTTCAATACTACGCAATCTCATTTCCAATTCAATCCAACTTCTCATGCAACTTATGTGCTCACTACTCCCTTCATGACTTTGAAGTCTATGACTAAGATTCTTCCAATTTTTAAATCCTTCATTAACCAAAGAACCCTTTTGATTCTTGTTTCCATCTTTTCTAAATAATTTGCAACAAAAGCAAAATACCACATTCAAAGAAGTTGAATATATTAGCCATCTCCTATCATGTTTCTCTCCATTTAACCATTGTCGAGTGTAATGAGCGGAAGAAAAATGTCTGCCTTCAATATCTTTAGGAAAATCAATAACAACTCTTTTGGGTCCTCTTTCTACTAAAAGATCTCTTAATTTTTGATCAATATTGCCCCAATTTGCTGGATCGTCAACATTCATGTTTTTATTGACACTCTCAATCCTAAGTTGAGTAGGTTCCTCAATGTTTCTATCATCTTCTGCAGGTTCTTCAATAACTCTCAATCCTAAGTTGAGTAGGTTCCTCAATGTTTCTATCATCTTCTGCAGGTTCTTCAATATTCATATTGTGTTCAGTAGGTTCTTCAATATTCATATCATTTTTCTGTTCTTCATTTTGATTTTCTTCACTATTATGTTCTTCGTTATCATGCTCTGTATGTCTACTACTAAAAAACTTATCCAACGCTCCTGCTTGAGACTTTTCCAATTTTTCCAATTTTTGTTTCTTTTTTCTTTTTTCATGTCCAGAACTATACTTTCTAGGAAGCATGATGAACGCTGAAAAATATGATCAATCAATAATGCAAATTTTAGATCAATAAAAAATTATATACAAATACTAAAATACATAAGATCAACAAATATTATAATTTATAAAGTTATAAAATTACCTTGAAATTTGAATAGTTTAACTTCAAACAAATTTCAGATCAACACGCCCGAATCCTAAAAGATGCACTTTTATCTCTTCTTCCTATTCAATAGACAACAACAAAGTTTGGACTTAAAGAATTTTTTGGGACACGATGCAATCATTTGAAGTATGGATCACTAGCTACTGATTTTCATTGTTCATGTACCGCACTTTGATTATATAGCCTGTATGCATATTATGGTTTCTTGTTTCAATTGATTAATCACTAATCAGCAAATATACTAAGTATAGTCTGATTCATAATTTCATATATGTTATACACAGATTCATACTTTGTTTATACAACTAATTCATGTATGTATGTTAATAATATGCACATATTCTTGCTGTATAGAATCAATAACAAAGCAAAAATATTATTAAATCATGAAGTGATGAAACAATTATTAAACAAAGATATCATGCTGTTGCCATTATTCTGCGGAGCTGTGGTTCTGCGGGAAATAAACAGTAAACTATGTTTAACCATGTAAAAGGCAGTGTATAGAATTATAGAAATATTCAATTATTCAAATATACTTATATAGTTATATACCTTGTAAGTTGTAACCTTGACGGAGTCGCCGACCAGAGGAGGCGCTGGCGGCGAGGCACCGAGGTCGCGACGTCGCGTTTGCCTTGCTGGTGGGAGGGGTGGAGCCGTGGAGGGAGTCGCCGGAGGCGGCGTCGTGGAGTTCGACGGCGGAGGAGCGGAAGGCAGACGGTCCGGACGGAGTCGGGAAGAAGAAACGTCACTTCAGAGAGAATCAGAGAAGAAGAAGAGAGGTCGGCGATCAGACGGCCACTTCGGAAATCGGAGAGACCAAGGGTTTTTCGTTTTTGTATTTATAGCCTCTAACACTTTTGCATAAAAATCCTCTTACTTTTCCAATTTCCATATATATATATATATATAATTACATGGGGGCCCCTGTTTTTTGGGGGCCCTAGGCGCAGGCCTCTCCCGCCTGCCCCTGGGGCCGGCCCTGCTCCCATGTTCAAATTTGCAAAACAGAACGTGGAAGGAAAAATAGAAGAGAGAAATCTAATATGATAGAATAAGGCCAAATAAGATTTTGTTAAAGATCAAGTAAACGAGTTCAATTCTGAAAACCCTAACTTAACTACATGTTAATTCATTTGAACAACACCAGTAATCATATTTTGTTTAAACACTTATAAACCCTAACTCATTTAAGTTTCATTCGTGCTATAAGTATGTGTGATTATTTAAGTTTGTGATGTAAAAATATGTGAAATAATTTTTTTTTAAAAAAGAGAGTGATATATAACACATTATAAATTTTTATAATGTGTTATAATCCAATTTAGGTGAATAAAAAAATAATGTTATCCCTAGACTTCCGTCTAATAATTACATCCAATTATTTGGACTTATAATATATGATATACGACTCAGATTTGGGTAGGAGACGAAATTTTCTCTCAAAAATGAGCGTTTATTTTATATTATAGGAATAAAAAATTGGTACTGAAATTTGTAATTATTGGATCTGTCCTTCTCGGACGGGTTAGGAATATAGTAGTGCATACATCCAACTTTGTATACTTTGTATATTTTCATTCTTAAAAGTTTTGGCAGCACCTATTTGTTGTTCTCCGTGTACAATAAGCGTATGTTGTTCTGCGTTTTGGGTTATTACTGATATGCATAATAACATCCGCACAGTGTATAGGGAGAACAACGGGTAGGTGCTACCGAAATTTTCAAGAAATGAAATTATACAAAGTATATGAAGTTGGATGTAAGTACTACTATATTCTTAATGGATAAAAGCCTTCCTATGACAGCCGCAAGATTAGTGTAATTAGTTTTTACGTATGTTTTATATATATGTTATGTAGATAAATATTCATATTGTTAAATGATATATGAACGTATGTTTGATGTGTGTTGAATGTATAAGAGTAATGGATGTATTAGTAGTTGTGAGACTAATCGTATTTAATATTTATATATAATTTACAGATGAGGATAATTCCTGACAAGTCATGGATAGATATCCCTAGGTATCGTAGATTTCACGACACACGATACAAGGAGGGATGTGAAGCCTTCATGCGTTATGCGGAAATGAATCCGAGAAATTTAAGAAGCGGTGCTATGTACTGTCCTTGTTGTAGGTGTAGGAATTTGAAGCTGCTGAATAGAAATGATATAAGGATTCACCTAATAAAATCAGGTTTTGATGAGAAATATAAATACTGGAACTGGCATGGGGAGGGTATCACTGAAGATGAGGATCCAAATATGCATGTTGGTACGTCTGATGGCCAACGAATAGATAACACAGAAACATTGTTGAATGATATTTTTCCTCGACCTACAGAATATGATGTTGATGATAATGTCGAGGATGATATTGGAGACAAAAGTGAAGATGATAACGAAGTTGAGGCTAAAGAGGTAGGAGGTGTCGCAAGTGTCGAAAATATTAATGATATGCATTCATCCGCAGAAATAAAGCGAATAATGGAGCTACTAGAAGATAGTGAAAAGGACTTATATGAGGGATGTACCGAGTACTCTAGATTTTCATTTATGCTGAAACTCCTTCATATTAAGACACTTAGCGGTATGTCAGATAATTATTTTGAAATGCTTCTTGATTTGCTTCGAACTGTAATACCTGGAGGAGTGAATAGCATACCCCAAACAACTTATCAAGCTGAGAAGATTGTCTCTGCTCTGGGTCTTGATTATAATAAGATTGATGCATGTCCGAATGATTGTATTTTGTACCACAAAGCCAATAAAGACCTTCAAGAGTGTCCGACATGTGGAGTTTCTAGGTGGAAACAGCGCACAAATTCTTCAACAAGGATTACAACGGAGACAGGGATAACACAGAAGAAAATTCCAGTCAAAGTGCTTCGACATTTTCCATTGGCTCCTAGATTGCGAAGATTATACATGAACAAGGAAACGGCAAAGAATATGAGGTGGCATAAGGATGATCGAGTAGACGATGGTAAATTGAGACATCCTGCTGATGCTTTAGCTTGGAAGCATGTTGATAAAATTTATCCTCGTTTTGCCGAAGATTGCAGAAATGTAAGACTGGGTCTATCAAGCGACGGATTCAATCCATTTGGGGTAATGAGCTCTGGCTGGTCTACGTGGCCAGTTGTATTAATGTCATATAATTTACCTCCATTGCTTTGTATGAAACAGCCGTTTATGATACTTTCATTACTGATACCCGGTAAGTATGCTCCGGGAAATGATATTGATGTCTACTTAGAGCCTCTAATTGATAAGCTAAAACAATTATGGTTTGAGGGTATTTTAGCATATGATGCCCATTTAAAAGAGTCGTTTAGATTACGTGCTATTCTACTATAGACGATTAATGATTTTCCAGCTTATGCTAATCTGTCAGGGTACTCTACGAATGGCAAGTGTGCTTGTCCTGTATGTGGTCCAGAATTTGAAGCTATTCAATTACCACATAGCCGAAAGAGTTGTTATTGGTTTAATCGAAGGTGGTTGCCCTTGAGTCATAAGTACAGAAAATTATCAGCTAAGTTTGATGGCACAGTATATTTATTAATTGTATACGCGTTTTTCAAATTACCGTGCTAATAATTAACTTTTATGATTATAAGATACTTGGGCTGCATGAAAAACAATGTTCGCAATCGAGCTCGTCCCGAGGGCTCGATAGCTGAAGGATACGTGGCTAACGAATGCTTTGTGTTTGCATCACGTTACATGCGTAAGAAGAAAATCACATCTCAAGCACCTCAAAAGGAGAGGAAGCGTGAAAAATACCTGAGATCTCTCTTAGATCAAATTCATGCATATGTGTTGGAAAACCTTGATATGTTCGAAGACTATCGAAGGTAACAAATAAAATCTGTAATATAGATGATAAATATTTATTTTACATATAGTTTATCAATACAAACTTATATATTGTTTATATAGGCGACATCTGGAGAAGCGTAAGAATGAAACAACCGGTAGGAATGCAGCGCACAATATTCAGAAAAGACATAAGAAAGAATTTTCTGATTGGTTAAGATTTGATGTAAGTGTTTTACAATTAATTATTGAACATTCATAATATAACATCGCCTAAATATTCTCAAATTGTTTGTCTTAGGTTGAAAAATCACTTCTTGACGATACTACATTACCAGATGAAATTATTATTCATGCACAACGTCCTTATCACGAAGTGAGACGTTATAATGAGCATTTGGTGAATGGATATAAATTTCGAACGTTAGAGACCGATGATAGGAGGGTAACTCAGAACAGTGGGGTCATGGGCTTGTTTGCTCAAGAATGTTTTTCAAGTATAAGAGATCAGAATCTAATTCTAGCTGACATATTATATTATGGCCAATTAGAAGATATCGTTGAGGTAATTTACGGGTTTGGTAAACCAAAACAATGTACTTACACGATGTTCAAGGTTCGATGGTGTCCTGCAAAAAAGCAAAAGTATCATTATGGATTTACACTGGTCAATCTTCACCGAGAAGTATATACGGATGAGAAATTCATTTTCGCAGAACAAGCTGATCAGTGCTTCTATGTGAAAGATCCAAATGTCATGTCTGATTAGGTGGTTTTGTACAAGGAGCAAAGATCTGTTGTTCTTCCTAATAACAATGAAAAAAAATATTGAAGAAAGTGAAGATAATTATGCTGAACCAATTGGTTCATCTGATGATGTTTGGCAAGAATTCTCTTATGCACAGAATGTGGCGCTGGATGTAGGTATGAACTATATATGTTACACCACATTATCGACTTTTTTCTTATCATAATAAAAACAATAATGCATTTCATAACAACATATCTCATGAGCATGTATATATTTTTTCTTTAACGATTGTCTTTATTATATTTGCACAACATATCTCATGAGCATGTATATATTTTTTCTTAACAATTGTCTTTATTATATTTGCAGATGAGGAGTATTAGGAGGCTCTTTGACCAGTCGGCTGATCGATCACGGAGTATCACGCCAGGTAGTGGTGCTGATGATTCACTACCTTCTCCAGATGCAGGTATAAAAATTAATTAATAATTTAATATATTTTATAAATTTTTAGTTATCTAGCTCATAGTGTTCATTTGTTGCAGATGCGGGATATTCATCACCCGGCGGTTCTGATGCAGCACCAGAACAATCCCCCGACACAGGTATTAAATATTTAATAATTGATAATGGTCAATTAAAATTTAATATTATTGATTCTTCTTTCTTATGTAGGTGCTACTTGGACCCCGACATATCCATCATATACATTCCATACTGACTTGCGGCCAAAGACCCAGGACTTTCTCAGTTTACCTTTACCTCCGGACTCTCATAAGTCCAAGGCTGATTCAAGGAAGTACCACCCACGTGCTGCGAGAAGGTATCAGGAAATGCTTCCTATGTTGGAGACTAGGAAAGCTGTTGCACTCGCAGCAAAAGAAAGAGAGATAGCGAATGGTAAATTATATAAATACTTTTAATTTTCACATTTGTATATTATATGATATATTATCATGTTGTCATTATTGTAGGTGCTAAGAAGGATCGCATAGAGGGACGACGTGGCGGAGGTAAGCCTGATTCTAAACAACCGCCAAGAGGAATGAGGGGCATTATTAGGTGGAATAGTTCTAATTTGCCCGTTGGTCCTTGGTCGACCCGATTGAATGCATATATTGGGGTTCTCGTGCGTAGAGCGACCATTATCAACCCTTATTTTCATTTTCGAGAATTACCATGGACCGCATGCGAGGCGATATGGACTGCGCTTATGGTAAGTGCATATTGTTTTAGATTTTCATTTATTAATAATTAGTAATTGATATTAAATTATCCTTACTAAATGTGTATGTAAATCTACAGGACTGCTTCTGCCTTGAGGACTTTGAGGGGGCTTGGAATTATGTGTTTAATGTCAAGGTTGAAGCAGTCCTCAAACAATGGAGGCATGAGATCAAACATGAAACCTATGACAGGTATGAGGAGGACTGGCAGAGGTTTTTAAACCTCGATGACCGAGTTGACGAGATTTATTTCACGGCTCTCCTCATGTATTCATGTATTGGGACAGCGATGCCGCCAAGGTTAGTTTCATGAAATTTAGTTTATAATTTTAAGATATTATTTCATTTTATATTTACAGAATTTTTTTTAAAGAATAAATCCACGAAGGGGTCAGAAAATAGAAGAAAGAAGCTGCATGACCATCACTTGGGCTCACACTCCTACACCAATCTGGAGGATGTTTATTGTCAAGATACGGTATATGTCATTTAAAGATTTAAAAGATCTTAATGTTTAGTATGATTATGAATTCTCATAATTTATAATATGACAGGGGAAATCATTAATGCCGATACACTTGAGGGCCAGAGCGGCATATGGTACTTTTCGTGAACAATATAGGGGTGATGAGAGGAATCGGGATAAGATCACGGCAAATCTCGAGTTAGTGGTGAGACTTATACATATCTTTAGTAGTATTATTAATTCTATTTTGTTAACATTACGAGGAAACGAGAACACAAATAATATGGTCATTATCTTGAATTAACTATAAATATGTGATTTAGGAGGGATTTGAGACTGCATCCAAGGAGGCTGCATCTGTGTACATGTCGCAGGAGGAGGAACAAACCGAGCCGGACCCTCACATGCTTTCTGCAAATGAGAACATCAATCTCACACAGAACTTGATGGGTCATAATAGGTAAGGATGGTGAAAAATCGAATCAATTTGAATACTACATACTATTTATATTTGTTTACCATTATTGAATTTGAGAGCAAAGTTTAATATTTATTTCTCCCTAATAATAGGAGAGGAAGATATCCTCTACATGGTGTCGGAGCTTCACCTGGTATAAGCATCAGATCGTCCACAGCATCCTCCACACCATCTACATCGACGAGAGCAGCCACAAGCAGTTTCCAGGCTATGCCATTTGTCGCACGTATCTCTGCGTATCTGATTGACAAAATTGACCCGGAGCTGCATATTCATATCTTAGTCATGTGCATTGTTAGTATATATGTTGTTGGATGTGTTTTAGACGGAACTGATTGATGTATATTTTGAAGTGGATGGTTGGATTTGTACAATGTGTTGGATTTGGTTATATAGATGTTTTTGAATGGAATTGTTATGAATTTTGATTATGATTGGATGGTTGAATGTGGCGTGTACAGTATTTTCTGGATGTATTCAAATATTAATGTAATTGTATAGGGAAATACAAATTTTAATTAATTTTTTTTTCCTGAAAAAAAGCAATCTAGACGGAATTCCGTCTATATTGAGTCAACCTAGACGGAATTTCCGTCTAGGTTGTAAAAAACCAACCTAGACGAAAATTCAGTCTAGGTTGACAGACCAGACGGAATTCCGTCTGGTTTGTCAACCTAGACGGAATTTTCATCTAGGTTGACAGACTAGACGGAATTCCGTCTAGTCTGTCAACCTAGACGGAATTCTTTATTCCGTCTAGGTTGACTTCCGTCTAGATTGATCAACATAGACGGAATTCCGTCTAGTTTGTATCAATCTAGACGGAAGCAAAATAAACCACTCAAACTAGACGGAATTCCGTCTAGATGCCCTAATCTAGACGGAATTTCAATCAACCTAGACGGAAATTTCCGTCTAGGTTGATCGTTTTTCTACTAGTGGTCGTCTGATACCGGTCCAAGGTGAAGGAGGAGAAATAGAATATATACAACTTTTTGAAATTATTTTTGTATTCGAAGTTTCATGTGGTCACGCAGCTAATTAACATAATTTAATTGACCTAATCAAACATGTAACTCAGACCAAGTACTCCATGATATTAAGATTTGCAACTATTCGGATCACAAGAAATTCTTCAACGTATAAATTAGTTTATGGCCAGATCCCGTGTCCGATATAAAGTCACGGCAAAAACTTTAACCTTTTTTTCCAATTTATTAACTATGTATATTAATGTAACAAAAATTATTTAACGGTTTGTTTAGTTGCGTCCAAAAGGTCATGTTTATGAATACATTAAAACTCACTCAAAAGTAAAAATAAGTTGATCAACGTTTTGTTTATATTTTGGGTTGCTCTTGAACTTGGGTCATCTCCATTATCAAAAAGTAGTGAAAATACCACTATTTTTAACAATAAGAGTTGATTTATTTAGTGAATGATTATGATCCATTCTAAATATAATGCTCATCATATCTCCATGAATTACATTTATTTTTTATTTGCACTCAAAGATTAATTACAACCATCCATTAACTTATATATATATATATATATATAATATGAGAAAACTATAAATATCAAAAAAAATTATAGCTTCTATGATACAAGAGAGTTCATTAATATGTTTGTTGTATATGAAAAAAAACTAAGATCAGCCTAATCATCAAAATTAACCTCAAACTATGATTCTAAGAATTAAAATAGTTATAACTGTATGACCTATGTGTGAATGTGCGCACACACACTACACACACACAATTTCAGATAAGGATCCAGATATTTTACTACATATCAGTATTCGTAAATATATCCTATTAGATATAGATTTTAGTAACTATATCTATATCATTATCTTCACTGATACTTATGCAATGTTTTCTCATGTGTGTATTTTTGTGCACTCCTAATGCATAGGCAAAAATAAGGAAAAAATAAATAAAACAATAAGATGAAGAAATTACCTTTGGATCGAGAAAATGACACGTCGTAACGACAATTATCTTCAGTTGCATAATATGAATAATTAGAAGATAAACTACTTGAACAAGAGTACTCTTTAGGCCCCTATTTGTGCAATGGAGTAAGGATTAGTACATTGTAAAATTTTACAGAACCACACCACAGAAAGCACATTTCCCACCTCAAAGTTTGACGCTCAATAATACAAGTCCAATCTGTACTAAAAGAATAATACTCAAAGCAACCAGCAACAAACTTGATTGTCCATCAAAATGCGTCTAACAAAAGAACAGTGAGCGCACCTAACTGATTTGAGTGTGCATATTGAGCTGGGGTTCAACGATGCTGATGCTTTAATGACAGCTTCATGCATCAGTTGAGTTTCGGCACATAATGCTCACACTAGGAAAGAAACAATAGAACAAAGAAATTTATTGGTGTTACATGTATTTAATAATCTAATATCCGCTCAGAACAACACAAGATATAACAGCACTTCATCCATTCTTCCTCTTATTCATGTTGATAGCATGGGACTAACTCTGAATATATAGGATGAGATTGTGAGATGATTTGCTACACCGTTAGATTCAAATTAATGGTTAGATTTAAACTAATAAGTTAATTAATTAAAGATATGTGGTCCCCACAATTATTTGATTTCCCTGCCAAAATTTCTCTAACCCTAACTCTAACCCGAACCCTAAACCAAACCCGAATCCGAACCTGAATCCAAACTCACTAACCCTAACCCTGACCCCAGCCCTAACCCAAAGCCAAACCTGAACACTAACCCTAATCCTAACCCGAACCTGAACCCACTAACTCTAACCCTAACCAGAGCCCCAACCCTAACCCTAACCTTAACCTGAATCCACTAACCCAAACCCAAACCCGTACCCTAATCCTAACCCTAGCCCTAACCCCAAATAAGAAAAAGAGGAGGTGAAAGGGAGAATATGAGAAAACTTACAGATGATTTGGTAGGGAAATCAAATAAATGTGGGGGCCACATATTTTTAATTAATTAACATATTAGTTTAAATCTAATTATTAATTTAAATTAACAGTATAGAATGACAATCTCATGTAAAGCAAACCATCTCACCATATTGTTTATGTGTGTGTGTGTGGTGTGTGTTTGTGTGTATGAGAAAAATGGGTAAGCTTAGTACTAAGCATACCCATTTTACTTGGTACCCATGTGGCATGATAAGAGCCATTCATCTAGTGTTGATGGAAACTAGGTTAGGAAAGGGAATTTTGCAAAAAAAAATCAAATTTTAAAAGGGGTGTATTTAAATGAGTATCGCTCCCTCTCTTCTCTCTCTCTCTCTCGCTCTCTCTCTCTTATATATACTATATATATATATATATATATATATATATATATATATATATATATTATATTATATATATATATATATATATATATATATAGAGAGAAGAGAGAGAGAGATGAGTATGCTTTGTAACAAGCACAAATTTGTGTGCTGTAGTGATTGGCATAATTTCCTCCACCTCATTCAATAGGATACATCACATTGTTGAGCGAATGCATGAGGATATGCAACCATTTGAATGAGTGCAGAGGATTATGTCACCTCACTAACAAGCATAAATTTTTAGCTTGAACATTACCTATTTCTCATATATATATATATATATATATATATATATAAATATATATATATATATATATAATTAAATATTAAAAATATAAAAATATTATATATAGGAGAGAGAGAATCAAGAGATGTGTTATGTTACCTACCAAGCATAAATTTTTGCTTGGTAGTGAAGGGTAATTCCAATTAACTCATTCCAATCCTCAATCACTCCTCAACCCCCCCCCCTCCCCCACCACATGTGAATCGGTCCCCGAATTTTAATGAGTGAAGGGAATTATGTCACCTTACTACTAACACAAAAACTTGTGCTTCGGTACCAAGCATACCTATTTTTCTCATAATATTATATAGTAATATATATATATATTATATATATATATAATATAATATATATAGAGACGAAGAGAGAGAGGAGACAGAGATAGGAAGAGAAATGGTATGCCTTGCGGCTACCAAGCACAAAAAGTTAATGCTTGTAGTGAGTAGCCCACAATCCCCTCCACTATTCAAATGATTGCAGATCCCATGCCATTCCTTCACCCATGTGAATGTCGTCCCCATTGAATGAGTGAGGGTGCGGGGGCGGATCTGTGCACCTCACTTATTATAATATATATATATATACTATATATAATTTATATATATATATATATTATATTATCATATATATAAAGTCTATTTGATACCTTACATGAATCCCTAGCACTAGTGGAAAACCAGACATCCTTGACGGGAAATCCTGTCAAGGATGCCTAAATCCTCGTTGGCGATATATATCCTTGACGGTGAGCCGTCAAGGATAAGCCGTCAGCGATAGTCCCATCAGGGAAGAATTATCCCTGACGGAGAGCCATCAATAATGTGTATTACTGACGATATTTCGTTGACGGCAAAAGCAGTCAGCGATAGTGACACCTCACTAACGGCAATCCTGTCAGCGATGTGATAAACATCGCTGACGACAAAACGTCAGTGATGTTCATCACTGACGACAAAACGTCAGCGATGTTCATCACTGACGACAAACCGTCAGCGATGAATCCAACATCGCCGACGACAAGCCGTCAGCGATGTTCTCGTCAGCGATGCTTATACATCACCGACGGCACTACTGTCAGCGATGAACATCACTGACGGTTAACCTATCAGCGATGTTTATTATCAGATAAAAAAAATTAATTCTGATTACAATCAGTTTTCTGTACATACAAATCTGCAAACAACATTTCTTGCACATTCCAAAACATCTCGAAATATGTACAATCCAAATTTCACAAACATCTCGTATCCATTCAATTTTCACAAATATTCGAAAAATGTA